CTGTGCCCCACCCTCCCTATTCACCTGATCTCGCCCTGAGCGACTTTTTTTGTTTCCTTGTTGAAAAAAGTTATCAACAGGAAACGCTTTGCTGATGTGGAAGAGGTGAAGCAAAAAGCAGCCGAAGAACTAAAAGGTATCAAAATTGACAAATTCAAAAATTGTTCTGAGCAGCGGAAAAAGTGTCTCAATAGTTGTATTGCATGAAATAGAGAGTATTTGAAGGCAACTGAAGTTTAAACATGTAAGAATAAATACACAATTTTTATAAATAAATTCCATTTTTTTGAGGTTCCCCCCATACTTTGTTGATTTGCTGATGTAGACAATGCATGGATTTCTGCTGTAGAATTGAGAGTTTATTTCCAAGGGCATAGGGAGCCCCAAGATGTTGGCCAACTCATCCCTGATGCTTTTGGTCCTGTCAGGTGACTCCTAAGGTGGCCCTGTCCCTTCCAGGTGGGGCCAGGTGGCCCTGTCCCTCACAGGCTCAAGGGCTGTCTCCATCTTCTCGCCTGTTGGCCTGGAAGTTGCATCCTTTCCCTCTTGGGTTTTGTGGGGTGCAGCCATTGCCTTCTGCCATCCCACAGACCTGCCTCCCTGGAGCTCTGTCCTCTGGGAGGGGCTCTGTGCGAGACCACAGAGGGTCTCTGTGGCCACTAGAGGGGCTCTCAGACTCTGACATCCATTCATTCAGTGTTTGGCACCTCCCACCCCATCCCTATCCCTCAGCAACCCTGAGAAATTGTCTCAGTCTGTGACTCAGGACCAGGGAAGGGTAGCCAGTTGTGAAGGGGCATCTAGCCCTTTTTGAGTGGTGAGGGGATAGGTGAACAGACTGTTGTCTGATTGTTCACATAGGTGGGGGAGGTTATTTTGCATGGTGGTTGGCTTGGGGCATGGGACAGCATCTAGGAATGGAGAAACTTGGGCCGAAAGGAGGGGTGGGAACGTGGAGGGACAGTGAGCGCAGAAAGTCTGACTGTTGTCTTCAGTCGGTCACCATGTAGGTGTGACAGGCAGTCTCTGTGTCAGATCACCATGAGGTGGTTTTTCTTGCTGTCCAGCTCCTCCACATCTACAAGGATCATATCGTCCTTCTCAGCAGGATCACACCCAGGTGATGGGCCCAGAGTGACACGTGGACTAAGGCCCCATTGCTGACTCACAGGAGGCCCAGCAGCGTAAAGACCTGAAAGCTGACACCTGGAAATGTTGGCACATCACTTTACCCCTTAGCGAAGTGTCTGGGAGACGTACCCACTGGTCATGAGGGGCGGGCATCACTAGACCACCTCCTGGGACAAAATGGCCTTTCTTCCTGCTGTCCATTCCTAAGGAAAGGAGTGTGATGGAGTGGCCAGGGGCCCTCTGAGATAGTGCTTGGAAAGGCTCATGACACTGTGCCACCATCCATCAGCTCTAGGGCTGGAGGCATCACTACCATCACTCTTGTTTTTCTTTCTCATCAGAATCCATTATAACTCTAAAGAGGAAACTACTCCCTTGAGACAAGAGCATGTGAGGAGAAAACATATGCCTTATGTTTCCTCAGATGCGCTGCCAGATTCCCAGTCTGAGATCTGGGGCTGTCAAAAGCAAAAAAGGAATGAGAAATAGAAATCTGAAAATAACGATGCTTTATTTGATTTATGTCACATTTTCATAAATGGCATCTAATTTCAGGAAACAAAGTTCAAGTCTGCAAAATAAAAAAAATGCATGTACAAATCTAAGGAGATAAGTCTACAGAAATCTATACGCAACTCCATGGTTGGTAAGGTGAGTTAGAAGGCTCACATTTCAAGGTCTGTACAAGTTCAATGTTCCAGTGGAATCAGACAGCCAAGAAAACAAGTACCAAAAAAGCTGATGTCATTTTTGAATATATACATATATATGTACGTATGTATATAAGTCATGTTTATCTAGAATAGTGCAATAGTCCTTTTGCAGCGTGCCAGTGATAGAATTAACTAAAGTCACACAGACATAGCCAAGTCAGTGCAAAGTTATCCATACAGCAGTATAAAAAACAGGTAGTATATAATTACATAGTAGATATACAGATATACGCACATGTTTGCACGCTGACTAAAAAGTTACTTGCATTGACTTTTGCCTTGGAAGAAATAACAAAAAAAAAAAAAACCCTTAAATGGTTCCTTATCAGATAAAAGGTAACAATTCATGACAGATTCAACTATAATCAGGTATTGCACCAATATGTCTAACAAAGGAAAAAATTAATAAAAACTAGCATAAGGGGGTCGGCTACCCATATTAACTTTTTAAATACACATGTTCTATTGAAAAACTGACTCCCAGTTAATCCCCTCCAGGAAGGAGTGTAAAACTATAAAAATGGAAAACCCATGGTGTGGGTGTGGTGGTCTCTTTCATCAGCTATTTGGATGATATAATGTTTTGCTGCTGTTTGCCAAGTACTGAACAATGAGATGTTTGTGATTGAACTTGGAAAGCCTGGTATGTAGGTCATGGAAAAAAGACCCCCAGGTGCATGATGACAGAAGTGTACAAATGTAAAGTTATAAAAACAAAATAGCTACCATGGCCACTATTTTCAGGAAGCCCAAACCATGGTACCAGTCAGATTAGATGGCATCCCAGGATCTCCAGGAACCCACAAATATAAACCCTAAACCCACATAGTCCACGACTTCTTGGCCTGTCCCTTCAAGGCCTGATGCATTCCACCTAGCAGAAGAGGGCACATTCGGGGTCCCCACATAGGGGAGATTGGTTCTGGTAACTGGATGCGCCTGGGGTTCCCAATCCTGTTTGGCAAACATTGTTTTCTAGAAGCTTCTAGGCAGGTGAAGTACAAGATGAAGAGTCAACCCCCAGTGCCCACAGTCAAGGCTTCAGGAAGTCTCCTTAAGGGGAGACTCATCTGGGAGACTAGAGATTGGTCCCCATGTAGGCCACTGGAGAGAACCTTAGCATCTCTGCCAGGCTCACCTGCCTTCATGGTGCAGGAGCACACAGGCCAGAGGTAATAGTGGACAGCTTACAAGTTTCCAGAGACCGGCTCTCCCAACATCAGAGGTTATAAAATGAGTACCACCTCTGACTGTGTTCAGTATCAGGACACTGTTTAATCTCATTTGCAAAGTGCAGGCCAAAGTCACTCAGATTATGTAGTGCAGACACTCAGAGGACAGTGCCGCTCTATCAAGAGAACCTCCACTGAGGGCAATAAGTTTGAGTTTTGCTATTTTCTGTGAATATGCCTTTCCCAAGATCTCAGGGGTCAGAAGATTGTGTTCAAAATCACAAGCCCCCATGAATCAAACACTTGTGTGCCCATGGCCACGTCCTGGGCTTGTACCTGAAAGGCAGGTGGCTGTGGGGGTGGCTTTCTGGAAAAGGGGAATGGCTTGGACAAGCTCAGCCCACAGCAGTGGAGCTGTCCCTGAAGCTGGCACTGAACAATCACAAAAAAGGCAGAACCACGCCCAGCTGCCAGGTTCAGCCCTTGCTTGAGACAAAACAAGTTTTGTGCATCCGTCCCTTTCCCCTCAGCCTGACAATGGTCATTCTACGTGGAGAAGCCCCCAAGCTGGGCCCCTCTGAGTAGCCCTCGTTTGCCCGGCCAGAATGCGGTAGCCCATGGGAATTGTTTTCCCCTTTTTGATGCCAGGGGACTATTTTTGAGCATAGGGGGGTATCAGGGTCCCTGACCTCGACCTCTGCTCACATCAATATTGCGCAAGCCAGTACCCTCGGCTGGCCTCGAGTACACTGGGGAAGCCACAGCATTTCTGTGTGGGGAGCAATTCCAAGTCAGCATGTTCAGAGATAACATTACATAAAAAAACGGAGCCATTTTCTCAAAGATTGGAAAAAAGAAACAGGAAGGCTGTACAATAGTTATTAGGATTTAGGCCAGCTCAGCAGAGGGTGAGCGTGTGTGCCACAGTCACACCTCCATCTTGCCCAGGAGGCGTGGATTTTAAGGACAGCCTGAACTGAGCTTGCAAGTGAAAATTAGACTATGCAGCAGGGGTGTGGGGCCTCCTATTTCTTCCCTGTGTCTGGTCCCAGGGAGGTTCCCAGAGAAGGTCAGCCTCAAACGTGAACATCAGAAGCCCCTGTCCTTGCAGAGGGCAAATATCTCAGAGAATCTCCCTGGTGTGAGAGACCAAGCACAGTGACCCAGAAGGACTGTGATTTTAACATCAGTTGGACCTGGGGGGGTGAGAGAGTTGATATTGGACATTCCAGAGAGGCCAAGTGAGTGTCACAAGCTTGTATTCACACCTGTGGCTCCCGCATGTGGATACTGTGACCTAGCCCAGCCTAGCTCTCTGTTTTATGTCTGAGAGGTGAAAGGCAGCCTGGTTTGAAAGCCCAGCCCTGAACCCCTGCTGCATCTCAGAAGTCCTCTCTGACCTCTCAGAGGTCCTCTCTGACCTGGCAGGAGCTGGGGAGACAGTGAAAGAATGTAGCACAATACACCATGCTCCTTCCATGCTCCTTCCTGCTCATGTCAACTTTAGGACCAAAACCTTGTGAGGGCTGCTTCCCTCACTAGCAGCAGCTGATTTCCAGCAAAACAAGACCAACACACAAGGGCTGTCCCCCTCCTGGAGATGCCACCAAGGGCCCGGGTCCAGGAAGAGCCAGCAGTGGTGGAAAGGACCCGAGGGAAGGTGTAATCAGGCGCCCTTCAGCTGACCTCCCCTTGAACCTGCTCCAGGCCCTCGCTGAGGCCTGCATTTAACAAGGCAGGAGGAAATGAGTGAGGGGTCCGAGAGAACAGAGAAAAACTTAAAACTTTATGACAGTTCAACATAAAACATGAAGGTCATCAAGAGAAAAGTGATTATTTACAGGCGGGTATAGACGGCGACACTAATAAATCAGAACTCTTAGCACATAGATGACAGGTGTATTCCGAAGACAATCTAAAAATCAATTTGACTCAGTAAAATTCAAGCAAATCACTTGAAGTATTTGACACTGAACACAAGTAGGAAGTTTTATATAAAATATTTTATTAGCAGTCTTTATTTCTTAAAAGTATCTAACTTTATATTCATACATTCTGCACCCCCACCCCCCACCTGGCTGGGTTGCTTTCTTTGACTTTTTGTTGCACTTTCAGTCAGCTGGCACTTGACAGTAGCCTTCGTGGGTTTTGACTACCCTCTGACTGTCTGCACCAGGCAGGAAATGAGAGAATTTTTCTTTCCTTTTTTAGAGTAAAGGACAATTGAGGATTTAGAGGCTGGTATTCTACAGAGATGAAGGAAATACCACAGAACAATACTATCAGACACACACCTGGAGCAAGTCTGCCCACGTGCATGGGTGTGTGTGGGCAAGTGTGCACATGTGTGTATATAGGTGCAGTATATATGTACACACACACACACACACACACACACACACACCAGCCCCTCTGAAGCCCAAGTTAATCCACAGGCATGGGCCAGGCAAGGGCAGAGCACAGCCCCTCTCCACTGAGACAAGAAGTAAAGCAGCCTCCAGGCCAGCTAGCGGCACTCCTCACGAACACTCAGATGTAAGGCCACTGGGGCCTGGGGAGCAGCCACCCTTTCATCTCTGCCATCTGTTTGGTGCCAGAACGAATAACGGAACATGTAGCCACTAAACTAGTATTGCACTTGATGTCTTACAAAGTCGCTTCAGGTACATCCGTACCTTGTGAACTGGAGGCAGCACGGCAAAGCAAAAAACAAACAAACAAAAAAAATAGGGACTCTGGGGTTAGACCTGGGCTATAATCCTACCCTACTCTCTCCCAACTCTGGGACTGGAGCCAATGCGAAGTCTCTCCCAGCCCAGCACACCACATCTGCACAAGGAATGGAGAGAAGCCAGCGGCACGTGGTCCCCTCCTGCCATGCTGGAGGGTGAGCCTCATTTGAGTCCCCTTCCCTAGATTCCCAGTGCCCAGGATATCAACAGGCATGGGGGATGGGTCAGCAAAGGTCTGATGGGTGAGTACATGAACAGAGAGATATTCCTAAGGCATTCAGGCAGCGCCTGGAACATTCGACAAGGAAAGAGGCTCAGTACACCGGAGTAGGTGCGTTGCTTCTCAGTGCAGCGACCGAGGGTGATTTCTGCCTTATGGCTGTGGTCTGTTCCTGCCCTCAGGCAGCGAAAACGGCCTTTTGTGGGTTTCTAAGATGAATTTTCTCCTAAATGCTTGATGTCATTTTCTAGGACCTGAAGGTGACTCCCCACAGGTGATGTCACTAGACCCTAGCAGGAACTGTGTAAATATTGACACAGTTATCTCTCTTCCTGGGGACAGCTTCCCACTTCACCTACACGGGAACTTTTGAAGAATTTAATTCTCTATCTGAAATTCAGTCAGAGAAGAAAAAAGGGAGGCATGAGATGCTCTGAAAGTGAACAAAGGCAAGAGGCTACGAGCAGGGTGGGCTGGCAAGGCCCCCGGAGCTCCCTATTAGGGTCAATGGTGTGACCCTCTTCTCCTAAAAATTTCACTTAAAGGTGACACCCTTTGGACTTCCACCTCTACTAACAACTGGGGAGGACACATTTTCTTTACCCAAGATTCAATCCTGTCTACTAAATGAAGAAATTCAATCCGAGATGAAAGGAGTATTTGGGACACTGCATTCACAGATGACTTATATCAGATTTGGGGAGTGGGTCTGGGTTGAAACTCCAGTGTGTGAAAGAGAGCACATCATCACACACACTCTTTAGGAAAGTGAATCAGTGTGTTGTCTGGGTGTTACCTTAGGTTACTGGCGTAAGGTATTTTATGAAACTATCCTACAACAAAAAGCAGAGGAAAATGAGCTAAAAATCCAAACACCAGCATTTGAGTGACGTGAATGTTGCCCAGGTTAGAACATGAGTGCTCAAACCAGGGCACTGCTGCTTCTTGAAGAGGAGTGCAGGCATGTCCCGGGGCTGGTGCATCCTCACTGCCACAGCTGGAGGCCTTACTCTAGTTACAGGGTAAGCAGAACTATCCCTTCAGATTACTCACCCATTCTAGTTAACATCCTTTGAAAAAATGACTCAGTGAGATCTTGTAAATACATTCCCTTCTATCAGCCTAACCACCCTCCCAGTCCCCAAGATCGTTCCCTTGGAAGGACTCCAATCAGTTCCTCATCTATTTAGGGATAAATAGAATCTGTCAACAGGGGAAAATGGAAATCCAGGGAGCAGGAACTCCTTGGGAGATAACTCCTTCTGAGGGCTCAGGTGCTCTCAGAAACCAGATTTTAAATCTAGAGGAATCTCAGTGTTCCCTTCTGAAATTGCTGAGAGATGACAACGTGGTCTCAGTGAACCACATGAAGCCTGTGGTGTAGAGTAGTCGGCCCTACACAGTGCTGTTCCTGAAAGGCACGTCCCTGTTACGGACATGAAACTACCACATTAATCCATAACAGGAAAGGCTAACCCAGGGGGCAAGGTTTCATTCGGTGCTGACCTCCTCTGATGTGATCACAGGATTTTTTTCCTCTTTGCAATTGTGTATTTTACCAGGCCGTTCTTACATAGGTCTTTCCTATGTGGGATGTCTTATAGGCAGACCTATTTTAAAATTAAATGAAGACTTTTTATAAAGGCTAAGTTTGACTCTGGTTAAAAACTTAATCTGGAAGGCAATGCCATATTTGAACAGAACAAGCAAACTTAACATTTTAATATATATCTCAACAGTGTTAACTAAAAAATGATCTAGGCGTGAAACAGGAATGTCTAAGCATTTGCAAACTAAATCCATGTGTAAATAAAATTCAGACCCTTTCATTCTCTTAAAGTAGGAAAAAAGAGCTTCATGGACAGATACAACCAAGGAATCTCTCAACCTCTGAACTGTAAATAGCCTTGAACATGACGTAGCACAGCTATTTATAGATGAGGAAACTGTAGCTTAGGAAAGTTCACTGATTTGCTCACCAAAACACAATCTTTCATGGAGACCCTGATTCCATGATAATGATACTCTAGAAGAAGAAAGCAACTGCATTTTCCTGAAGATGGACTGCTTTGGCCACAACCACCTTCCACCCTTATGGTCAAACTGCCTCCAAGAGCTGACAGGGAGCTGACAGCCTTGTTGTGAATTCAAAGGCTGCTTGATCTGCAGATTTGCCTCCTGTTCCTGCCCACGTCAACACAAGCCCAACACGGGGACAGTGGTGTAGCAGACAGGTCACAGAAATCACACCTGGGGGATGGAATCACCCACAACTCTAAATGCATTGTCTGGTTAAGTTACAAGTGCCTCTGTGCACCATGGTCTTCGCTGATTTCACACAAAGCTCTTGGATTCCGATGCCATCTTGCTGGCATCTTCCCCCCACCCAGTGTGGGTGGCTCACTCTTCACGGACTGGTGATCCCTACAAACCCAACCCTCAAGGGTCGCACCTGAAAGTTCCCTAAGCCCAGCTTTTCCAGGTTTGGTGGAGGTAGTTAATGTGATATAGAATAAAGGGGAAACAAGTTTTTAAAAAATCAATAGGATTGATCTTCTAGAAATTTTTTAGGCAAAATTAAGGTGGCCAGGGAGAAGGAAACAACATATTTTGCTGAAAATAAGAAGCCCGTGGAAAATAAAATATTATGAAAGAGTTAGCCAATTTCATCTTATAACTTTTGGTAATGCTTTTAAAAATGTCTTCATGGCTCAGTGCAGATGGTGTCAAAGTCCCCCCCTTAACCTGGAACCTGCACTGGACCTTTCACACATTCTGTCTGTATATGAGACCAGCTTGGTGATTACAGTTCCACCCCTCAAACCTCTAAACAAAAGTATATTATTTACCCTGAATAATTCTTCAACAAGTACTAAAAAAAGTACAATTTGTTAAAAATGAATGAAATTGATCGACTTTTGGCTTGGAAAATGACTTCTCACTGGAAAAGAGTCAAACCTTAGAAAGATGGGACTATGAAAACAACAGTCATCAAATGGAACAACTCCGCGTTTGGGCCCTCACCCCCTCCCAGACATCTGATCGCACAGTGATCAACTGCGAAGCTGCCTGCAGTACCCCATTCAGGACCCAAGGGTGCCATGTCATAAGGAAGAATTTTCCTGGGAAGCCTCTTGTCACCAACTGTGTTGCAGGTTCAAATTCTGCCCCAGTTGTGGTATTTTGAATTCTGAATGTTAAAAAACAAACAAAAAACCTTCTACATCTTCCTAGTTAAAGCTAGAAAGGGTAATGGAGAGAAGACCCAGCCGAGTGGGGCGGAGCCATTGAACGCTAGACACCCATAAACCAAATGCGGTTTCCAGGGGTTGGGGCAGAAGAGTCTCTGTGTCATCAGGCACAGGCTTGCCTCTGTGACTCTAGACGTGCCCTTGGCCACAATGTCTCATGTTCCTCTCTTCTGGCATTCGGTGTTTTACCTTTCTGCCCGGATTTTGTACCTCAGGACAAAATAGGCAATGAGTCGTAGGGAGATGAAGAAGATCCCGAGCACAATGAAGTCCAAGTACAGCTTGGCGTTTTCCACATCCAGCTCTCGCAGGATGGCCTCAGACTTCTGGAAATGGCATGTCTCGTCAATGTCGCAGTGCAGATCTTCTCTGTCTAAGCCGTAGATGGAGAGGATGACCCCTTCAAACCCATACCTATGGAGGAAGTGCCTGGTGTGAGGGAAAACTCATTTCTGACCAACCACGCCAAGCTAAGGTCCATCTCACGTACCCTCCCTGAGACCTTCAGCCCGGTTTCCCTCCCTTCCCAAAGAGCCACCTTCATCAAAATACGTCCTAATCTCCCAGCATCTTCCTAAAATAAATAAACACAGTCTACAGAAGGAATATCCAGCATTTTGGCTTCCCTGGGCTTCATCAAGTAAGGAAGAATTGTCTTGGGTCACACATAAATTATATAATATGGTTAGTGTATATACATAATAAGATTTCTTATTTTAAAATCTTTTTTATAAAGTTTAGAAAAATGAGAACAATATAAAGCTAGTGGGAAACCTGACCTTGTTTTTTGTAAAACGAATCTATCAATGTCCAGTTTGATGGAAGTGGTTTCAATTCTTAGTGAGGTCTCAAGGTGCTCAACAGAAATGTTTGTGTGAATTTTGCTTTTCATATACTTCATAATTGAAACAGCTGCTCACAAATGTATGTGCTGCCAAAAGGCAATGTCAGGAATAAGGTGTGACTGTGAACTTTAAACATGGAACTACACATGGGGTCATGAAGGAAATAAATGCTAAAAAACACATGATGTTAAAAGATTTTGTGGGGCCACATTACTAGCTATTCTGGGCCGCAGGACATGCCTGGTCTACAGCTCAGCTTAGTTTTATTTACTCTAATTCTGTTTCCTCCAGAGCCCCCAGCAAAAAAAACACATTGAACAACTGGTAGGTATTCATTCACTGGTGAAATGAATATTGAAAGCTACTTGGATTGCTTCTGATGTAACATACTTTTCAGTCGTTAGATATCATGGGCCTGCCAGCCTTGCAAGGACTTGAGTGCATTTATAGAAAACATTCCTGCGCCATCTAGCATTCTGTTCCAGCCCTACACTGTCAGAACAAAAACACTAATTTTGAGAAGAAAGACATTGGTTTCTGATTTCTTGGGATTGGCAAGCACACTGATTGTTGAAACTCTGTACAAGTGCTTTGTTTTGATTTTGTTTTTCTGAACAATATACCTGGGTCTGAACTGACATTCTAGAAAAGAAGAGCTTGTTCCCAACTTCGGATCTTTGTGTCACCTGGAATCGCTGCGGCTAGGGGTGGAGGGTGGGGAAAAACTCCAAAGATGGGCACTGCCTACTAAGGGGACAGCGTGGCTAGCATGCCAAAGACCCACTCCTCAGGGGGCATGGAACCCGACAGCCTAAGGCCCTGAGGCACTGGAGTATTCTTGTTCAAAGACATTATGGTGTTTAAAATATTTGTTTTTCACTGGATTTCCTTTTTTTTTAAAAAAGTAATTAATTAACTTATTTAAAGTTAGAGTCTCACTTTGTTGCCCAGGCTAGAATATAGTAGCACGATCATGGCTCCCCATAGCTTCGACTTCCGGGACTCAGGTGGTCCTTCTGTTTCAGTCTCTTGAATACCTGGGACTACAGGCATGTGCCACCACACCTGGTTACTTTTTTTTTCTTTTTGTAGGGACAAGTTCTCATCATATTACCCAGACTGGTCTTGAACTCCTTGACCCAAACAATCTTCCCATCTTGGTCGCCCAAAGTGCTGGGATTATAGGCGTGGGCTACTGCACCCAGCTCTCTGCTGGATTTCTTTTATTATTATTTTTATTTTTTAATTTTTTTTTGAGTCAGAGTCTCACTCTGCTGCTCAGGCTGGAGTGCAGTGGCACGCTCATGGCCACCACAGCCTTGACCAGCTGGACTCAGGTGATCCTTCTGCCTCAGCCTTCCAAGTAGCTCAAACCACAGGCATATGCCACCACGCCTAGCTAATTTTTTGATTTATTGTAGAGGTGAGGTATCGCCATGTTGCCTGGACTAGTGTCAAACCCCTAAGCTCAGGAAATCCTCTCACCTTGGCCTCCCAAAGTGCTGGGATTATAGGCTTAAGCCACCTTGCCCGGCCTCCACTGGATTTCTTATGGAGATTTTACAATCAGGACCTTGTTATAACCACCATTCACTTTGGAGAGGAATGAAAATTCCTGAAAGGTGGAAACATTCCCACTGAAGGCAGCTCTTGGAAACACCCAGAACATGAGGGTTCACCACGGCGTCTTCAGGGGCTGAATCACTAGAATGCACTTTGTCCTTGTTTTGCGTGCGTGCATATGTCTGTGGAGGGTGGGGTGGGAGCACATGAAACCAGGACAATAATAAAGGCACTGAGCCCGACTCGGTGGCTCAGCCTGTAATCCCACGCCTTTGGGAGGCTGAGGTGAGTGGATTGCCTGAGCCCGCGGGTTAAAGACCCGCCTGGGCAGCGAGACCTCATCTCTACAATAAATCAAAAAATCAGCTGGGCGTGGTAGCACATGCCTGTAATTTCGGCTACTTGGAAGGCTGAAGCCTTGGAAGGATCGCCGGAGCCCAGCAGGTCGAGGTTGCGGTGGCCGGGAGTGGCGACAGAGTGAGACTCCAACTCAAAACAAAACAAAACAAAACAAAAATAAAGGCACTGAAACACTCACATCTGTGGCCCACACTTAGTCAACAGCCAAGACTCTGCTTTTGTGAGCACGCACCCTCAAGGTTAAGTTCCCACCCTACACAAGCCCGGCAGCCCCTGGGCTACCTGACGTAGGAGATGTAAGACATCCACTGCAGGTACGTCGGGATGGTGTCAAAGCTGACGAAGAAGCCGGAGAAGAGGAGGACAGGGATGGCTGTCACAGGCCCCACGAATGTCGCCACCTGGGAGGCAAGGTGGGAACACAAACTGTAGAGCCAGCAGTCGGGTCTCCAGCAGAGCAAGGGCCTGCCCAACCCTAGCTGCAGAGGGGGAAGGTCACACAGGATAGAGTGTGACAAGGAGTCTTCTGAGCATGGTGATGAGGACAAGCGATCTGTGTCCCCGAGAAGTGAACACTAGGGGGTGTCACTGTCTCTGAGGGTTGCCATGTGGAGGCAGAGGTGCCCCACCTGCTCTGCTGGGACACTGGCAGTCCTGAGAGGAGCTGGGAAAGCTGGCAGACGATGTCCGCAAGCAAAACTGATGGGAACGTCTCCTCCTTGGTGGGGAGCAGCTGTCAGCTCCTCCACAGCTGCCTCCTTGTGGTCAAGTCCAGTGCCTGGCCTGTGGCAGGCTCATGGTGTGTGTTCACGCAGTAGGGACTCAGTGGAAGGGTCACAGCCTCTTCAGTGTGAGCACCTGTGTGTCAGCACCCATGGGGTGAACGAGCCTCATACATACTAAAAACAAAACACTACCATGGCTCTGATTGACAGTGAGCAGACTGCAAGGAGGGCATTGTGTATGGGGGGTGTACAGTGTGTGTGGTGGGTGTGTATGTGTGCCCCGTGTTGATGCATTTGGGTGTGTGTGTGTGTGGGTGTGTGGTGTGCATGTGTGTCTGTGTGTGATATGTGTGTCATGTGCTGAGGTGTCTGTGTATGTATGATATGTGGCGGATGTATGTAGCATGTAGTGGGTATTTGTGGTATATATAGTATGTCCATTGGTGTGGTGTATGCGTGACGTATGTGATGTGTCATGTGCATGGGGGGTGTGTGTCTATGTCATGGTAAGTGTGTCATGTGCTAAGGTGTCCATGTGGATGTGATATGTGTAGTATGTGTGTAGCATGTTGACACATCCCTGTGTGTGTGTGTCCATGGTGTAGCACGTTGTCACTTCCCTATGGGTATGTGTCCATGTGTGTAGCATGTTGACACATCACTGTGTGTCTATGTGTGTAGTATATTGACACATCCCTGTATGTGTATGTGTGCATGTGTGAGGGTATGCAGATGGGGCATCACAGCCTGTGCTCTGGTCAGATGAGACCCATCGGAGCCTGACAGCTGGGGGACTGGCAGCCTGGGAAGGCGTCTGAGCAGGGGCAATGGGCACTGGCCTTGAGGAGATGTGGCCACTGCGGACACAAAGGACCAAGCTTGCTGGAGTGGTGTGACCTGCACTTTCCCTGGAGTGGCCTATAGAGCAGATGATGACCCTGTGAGATGGACACCATGGCTATTCCCATCCAGAGTGAGGGAGCTTGGCCTGGGACTGAGCAGCTGGCCACAGTGGACCAGAGGTGGACACAGGAAACATGCACCCATGTCCACCCAAGGGTGCTGCCTTGTCTTCAGACAGGCCTAAGGACAGGCACAGCCTGAGCATCTGGAAGCCACAGAGCTGGAGAAACTGCACGTGCACGTGGGTTTGGCAGGTGGGGACCAGAGTGGTGATGAGAGGACGGAGGGACCTGTGAGGAGTCTGGGGTGGGTGGAGACAGGTGAGTGCAGTGGGGAGGGTGTCTAAAGGATGGCTCAGTGGATCCCACAGAGGCAATGAGTAGAACTTAGCCTCCGAGCCAGCTGTGTGACCCCTGACAAGCCTCTCTGGGTCTTAGTTTCCCTACCTGTGAAATGGGGAAAACACAGCAGCACCCATCCCTGCGTGTGCTTGGGACTAAGTGAGCTAATGTCTGAGAAGCATCAGGCAAGCACTGAGCATGCACTGCACAAGGGTGCCTATGATGGTCATTGCAAGTCAGCCCATCCTGACCACCTGGGACAAGGCAGCTCCTTCTCATGGGAACAATCTTGTGAAGCTCTCCAAGGAGGTTCAAGGCAGAGTTAGGAGGGTGGCAGAGCTCCACCAGGCAGCAGCCCTGGTCTCATCCTCCAGGTGGCACGGAGAAGCCCAGCCCGTGGCGTTTCCTGGCTGGTACCTGCAGGGATGTGGAGGCGGCTCCAATCAGCAGGCCCAGGGACTGAGCCACCAGGGAGGTCATGGTGCCCAGAGCAGCAAACAGGACGAATCGCACGGCGTCAGATGGCTGTGATGTCATCCAGTACACGATGCTGCAGTAGGCCACTGGGAACATGATCTAGAAGCACAGAGACCATCAGCCCTCGGGATCGCCCCATCACAGTAGGCAAGCCTTGAAGCTTTCAGGTGGCAGCCCTCCACCAGCAGCTAAATGCCTTTAGTCAGGACATGTTACCCTGCCACAGGCCTGGGCAGAACCCTCTTGTGTAAATCGGGGTTTCCACCCCAATTAGAGGGCATAAGGACAATCTCTTCCAGTCTCACCCCCCTCACTGACACACCTGAAAAGGGACGTCGGCCATGGTCTTGGCAAGGTAGTAGGCCTTCAGGCTGTACCAGTAATTCAGGTGTTCCCGTAGAAATACACCCATCTCCAGGGGAACTAGGGGATAGGAAAATGGTAAACACGGGTCAGGCAAACATACTCAGTGGTCCAAACATTCAAATTAGTGATCCTGAGCTGAGCCACCTGTGACTCAGTTCTGGCTGATGCCACAGCGTGAACCTTTCTCTACATGCAGCACCAAGAAGGTTTTGCTAGCCTGGAAAAATCGCCGGCCATCTTTATAACTGTCAGTCATCAAGTGGAGACTCAGAGTGTGAAGGGCATCTATGTGAACACTGAGCATTATTTTAGCCATTGATACAAGTATTCACATGACCTTATTCTTACTGAGTTGCCTTTCCTGACACTCTCTGTCCATGTGGCCCCTTCCTGTGATCAGCTCTGCAAGCTGGTCTTAGAAATTCAGGGCACCCCAGGGAGGTGGTCTCAGAGGGAAGAGGTTTACACTGCAATTTCATGGAACAACAGCTTTGTACACCATCAGCCCCAAGTGACCAAAGACAGACTACTTGCGAATGAACTAGAATTGTGTGGAAACCATCCAGAAGATCTCATCTGCCCAGAAGCGGGCTGTGCCAGGGCTATGTTAACAACTGCACTAGGACATGCTTAAGTAGTAGAATCAGAGGGGCTCCTGATTAGTGAACCTTTGAGAAATACCCCTCCCATCAGCCTTCTCCCATGCTTAAAAGTCTCCTATATTAGTGATTCATTTATTTGACTTAAAAACTGTAACAGATAACAGAAAATATGATAAAACTGGCATCTGTCAAATATTTTCTGTTAGATAACAGAAAATATGATAAAACTGGCATCTGTCAACAAAGAAGACAGTATTTGTTATAAAGGGCATTGTGTTCAGAAAATGCATCTATCAGTCAAGGCATGGCCTCAGGCCCCCATCCTTGGGTAGGAATCAAGGATGATAAAGAAGAGGAGGGTCTTGGTGGGTCACTCACATGTGAGAACAGTGGGCATGAGGGCGGCGAACATGAGGAACAGCATGGAGAAGAAGAGGAAGCCGGAGTTGCTCAAGACCTTCTTGGCTTCGTTCCCGATCCCCAGGTAGAGCAGGCCAATGAGGAGGCCGATCCCAATGTGTGAGGTGATCCGCAAGTGCGTCAGGACCTGGGGACAGACCCACTCTTACCCAGGGCATGCACAGCCATTCCAGGCTCGCCGCACCTTGGGAGTCATCGGACCCTGATTTCTGTAACAATAGATCTTTCCTTCTCCTTCAGAAAAACAATCCCAAACCCTAAACTAACTCACACACATGCACACTCACATGCACACACATGCACACACACCAGGCTTTTGTTGCTGTTAAAACAGAAGTAATTACTATCCTTTGTTAAATCTTCTTCGAAAATGGGGAACAAGGGAAGTCTATCTTCAGGAAAGAGGAGAAGTAAAGACGATGATGAGAGAGGACAATGGCTGGACCAAAGTCCCGTGACTGATGAGCTCTGACATGGGCTGTTGTAAACCCCACTGTCTTTCAAATGAGGTCCCAGAAGCCACTCTGGGCACTCATCCCCTCCTAGGCAGATGGCTAGACTGTCCACTTAAATGGTGGATGTTATGTCGTTCCCTGTGTCCAACACCTCTTTCCCTAGAAGGAATTATTCATCCATCCATTCCTTATGCCCTGCAGCGCTTTCCTGAAGGAGGAACACACTTGCCCACATTCTGACTTTAGCCTTGGCCATGGATCTTGTTTTGGACAATGAAATATGAGTGCAGGTGACAACCTGTCACTTCTAACCAGAAGTTTTAAGGACTTCCATTTGGTTTTTCTCTTGCACTCTTTTTGTCATGTTCCAGAAAGGCATCTCTAGATAGGAGCTGTTCTAGGATGAGAAAACATATGGGGCAGAGACACAACACAACCCCTGCCACTGACACATGACACAAATATCAGTGGTTGTAGACTCTGACAATTGGGGGCTGTTTGTTACTGCAGCATGACAGTGAATGCTGACTATTGTACATGGAGGAAAAATAGCCTGACAGGTCAGTCAGGGTGAGTCAGCCCAAAAGAGAAGATTTAGGGCAGCCTTACTGAATCCCTCATGATGCTGAGGAAGGTCCTCTTGAAGAGGATGCAGAACTGTGTTAGGCAGCTGGCAGAGAAGCTGTGACAGCCTTCCATGGAGGTAGAATCCTAGGGAAAAATCCAAGAAGAGAGGGGGTAAGACACTGGCCCTGGGATGTGGGTCCTTATCACTAAGAAAGCATCTCATGCAGCAGGTGTGGGGACCGTGTACAGCTCCCGGGCGGCTGTGGGATGTGCATTACCTTTCTCAACCCCTTCAAGCGTTTTGCCTGCTTTACCTCTTCAGAGGGCCGGTGCCAAAGAAAAGGGGTCACCTCGGCATCACCCCCGAGGTCTCTCTTGTGGTCGGAGTCACACATGCCCTCCCGGACTGCTCTCACCAGGCGACCGTTCTGATCCCCATACTCGCCAGATGCGACCTCCATTACTGTGTGAGATGAAAAAGGCGGGGTCAGTCTTGGGAGCCAGAAAGGTGCACCGATCGCACAAAGTTGGTATAGCAAGAATTTTTTTTTTTTAATTCAGAGACTCACTCTGTCACCCAAGCTGGAGTGCAGTGGGTGGCACAATCATGGCTCACCACAGCTTTGACCTCCTGGGCTAAGGGGATCCTTCCACTTCAGCCTCCCGAGCAGCTAGGACTGCAGATACATGCTTCCATATTGGCTAATTTATTATTTTTTTTATAGAGACAGAATCTCCCTATATTGCCCAGGCTGGTCTCCAATTCCTGACCTCAAGCAATCGTCCTGCCTTGGCTTCCCAAAGTGCTATGATTATAGGTGAGAGCCACAGCATCCAGCCGAGAATGTTCTTAGATTACATAGATGCTGCAGGATGATGATTATGGTGTGATGTCAAAGTCAATTTTCAGCTAACACTTGGCTCTCATCCTCCCAGCAAGGTCATTTATCATGTCAGGAGTCTGAAAGTGCAAATGCGTATGTGATGCCGGGAGTCTGAGAAGCAGTTAGTACACGTATCTGCGGATGTATTCATCCACCCAGGGTTTATCAGAGACCATGTGGGCCAGCCTCCAAGGTGGGCCTGGGGAGAGGAGTGGAATGGTGCACACCACCATGCCTGGCTAATTTTTTTATTTTTGTAGAGATGGGATCTTGCTATGTTGCCCAGGCTGGTCTCAAACTCCTGGGCTCAAACAATCTTCCTGCCTCAACCTCCCAAAGTGCTGGGATTACAGGTGTGAGCCATCATGCTCGGCCGGTAGCCTACTTCTTATGAGTGAGAGGCATTTCTCACCAACAGTGTCCCATGGAACACAGTTTGGGAAATGATATTACAGAAA